GAGGGCAAGGATGGCCTTTCAGAGGATGTCCTATCTCTGTAAAAGATGCTGCATTTCTAAGTCATGTGCTGTGGAAAGCCATTGAGAGGTTTAAGCAGGGGATGAAAATATCAGATGTGCTGTGTGAGTTAGAGTGGTATCGAATGGCAATCAGAAGCTCAGAATCATTTCTAGACTCTAAAAGAAGCCTAAGACTCCTGTCCCTGCATTTTTAGACATTTCTTTTGACCCATCAGTGAAGTTTCAGCAGACTTTTTTCCTAAAGAGGTCAGGTAGTAAATATTCTGAGTTTGCGGGCCATATAGTCTCTACTGCAGTTCTCCAGCCCTGTCATGGTAGCGTGAAAGCAGCCATGTGCAATGGCCAAATGACTGTGGGTTCCAATAAAACTTGTAAGTGGTGTGCGGGATTCAGTTTGCTGACCCTTGGCTCAGAGGATGCTTTCTTTATCATTTTGGTGATCCTCATTTTGAGGTGGTTGAGCAAGGGAGGAAATGCCATCTCGTGGTTGTCCCTGGCCTCGAGCTGCTTGTAATCATTATGGGAAGATAAATACATACACTTACGAGGCCATCAGCAAACACGACAAGACAGTATGTAATTAGGCACCTAAATGACAAACAGAAACAGGAAATGGGGTGAAAAGTTTGCTCATCTGCTTGGGATCTGGGTGACTAGGAAATGTCACGGCTTCATGGAGAACATGGAACTTGACAATTGCTGACACCTCGGAGGCTGGAGTTGACTTAGTCCAACCTGCTAATTTTACAAGCAAGACCTGAGAGCAGGGTCTGGACAAGAACCAGGTCTAATTGATTTTAGTCTTCTGTCTTCTACAGCTTTGCCCAGCGATTCTTTCTGATTTAGATCTGGGCCTCCCACAGGCTGAAAGACATGTATGGTATAATGTTAATTCTATCATATATCATATTAATACTAAGTCATATTAGTAGGGAGGAGGAAGAGTGAAGGTTCAAAGTTATGGGTGTACAGAGCCTTCTTTTGTCCCTGAACCAAAGTGGTTCTTAAGAGCCTGAGAGCAACGTGGCTATAGCTGTCATTTGTAGAAAGAAAGAGAGAGAGAGAGAGAGAGAGAGAGAGAGAGAGAGAGAGAGAGAGGAAGGGAGGGAAGGGAAGGGAGGAAGGAAGGAAGGAAGGAAAGAAAGGAAGGAAGAAAGGGAAGGAAGGAAGGAAAAAAGAGAGAGAAATGGGTGGGAAGTGGGAAGTGAAGGAAGGGAATACAGAATATAGAAAATGTGTGCATACACTGACAAGGAGTAGGAGGCAATCTATGTGTGACATCTTCAGTAGGAAGTACCTCTAAAAGAAGCCAGATGCACGCTGCCGCAGAGAACTTGATCATTCTAAAGAATGAAGCAATCTGTATGTTCTGACATGGAGCGAGTTCAGTGATGCAGTGTGAGAAGAATGACAAAATCAAATCACGGAGCACTCTGTATGGCGTGTCTCCTTTAGGTGAAACTGAAGCAGCCAGGTTCAAGTACGGATGCATGTGTTGTGTGTAAATGCTCACGAAGGGTCTGGAAAGGTGTGCACCAAACTTAACGGCGAGCTTCTCTAGGGATGGGTGGGTATGAACGGATACTTAAACATTTTATTCCATTTTGTAGTTGTTAGAATGATTACGAGAATGCTTATCATGAAAATAATGATGAAGTAAGAATAATATTTAAGCAAGGGAACGGGCCAGGTTAGGAAAGAAGAGAAGAAGGGAGGGGCTTTGACAGTGAACCCGGGCTGTTTCCAAAGTGTTTTCTCAGAATCAGAGGAAATTCAAACCAGAGTGTTCGGCCCTTGGTGCAGGGGGTTGCAAAAGTTGGATCAGAATCCCTTGGCAAGCTTAAAGACAAAACACATTCCTGGCCCACATGATCTCAGGTGATGGCACTGAGGCTGTGAATTTTTGCAAAAGCTGCTTCTCGGGTCATTTTGATGCTGCACTGGAGGCCTGAGGCTTTGGAGAACCTCTAAATCAGTCTCCCTGCTCCTGCAAAGTGAGAGAATGAACTCTGTTGACCAGGCAGAACCCAACCATGGGTGTTCACTTTTCCGTGACGGTGTCTCCCGACTCCAGTGTTTCCCCCAACAGTGGCTTTTCACCTAGATTGTGTTCACATTTTATAGGGAACATTCTTTAGTATTGTTTTTGAACTTGATCCCCCTCCTCCCCACTACCAATGCTTCGCCCTTTCAATTGCCTTTGGGAATGTTTTTTACATTATTTTAATTTTCTTGGAAACCAGAGGGTTGCCGCCAGGCTAGTGGGAAAAGCTCCAGTTTTAGATAACTGAAAGTTAGGAAAATAACTTTCCCCAGTGTCTCTTAAGAGAAAAGGACATTGCCACCTGTTCCTCTCAGCTGGGTTTCAGCCCCGGGAACTGTTCCTCCAGCTTTGTAGCTCACATGGTTTAACTGTGAACTTTGGGATTGGAAGAGCTCTTAGAGGTCCCTCTAGTGCAGGGGGAGTGAACCTTCCTTCAAATGAATTCTTACTTGGAAATCGCTAGCAAATTGGTAGGTCGAGCTGCATTATTGGAACAGAGGTAAAGAGGTGTTGAAGGGGGGGACTTAGAGTCCTACCTTTATGTTCTTGCCCCTACTCTCACCCTCCAGACCCAGGGGCAGCCCTGAGAAAAGTGTTTGGAATTGTGCGATCTTGAGTTCAATTTGGAAACCATTGAGGTTTTCCTCTTTCTCCTTCCATAGGTAACTGTTCCCCACATCCAGCTGATCTGACCTCTCATGTCTGTTCCCTTCTCTTTCCATGACTTCCACCCCAGTCCACGTCATACCCCACTTCCCCGTGACTTTCACCTTCTCAGTGGATTTTCTCATCTGGGCTCCTCTCACACCATTGTCTCTGTCCTCTTTGCAGCCAGATAACTTTTTAAAAATTTTTATTCACAAGTGTGATTATATGCCTCTGTCGCCAACCTCCAGTATAAACAGAAAGTGACTTCTCATTGCATTTTGGGTTAGAATCAAACTGTGGAGCCTCTCCGAGTTTAACTATGGCCCCTGTGTTGCATCTGGAGGTAGAGCCACACGAGTTTTTTAGTTCCTTCTCTGCTTCAGATTTCTGCTCGGAGACTCCCTCTGCCAAATCCCCCACCTCTCCCCTGTTCAGACTTAAGTTCTGTTTCCATCCTTTGGAAACATTCCAAAACATTTCTCTAATATCTCTGAGCCACAAAGTGCCTGTCAAACCCCTTCTCACCGGACTCTATTTCTTTTTCTCAGCAGTAATCTCAATCTAATTATGTCATTACTGATGTAATTAGTTGTTTCCGTCTGTCTTCCTTTAGAAGGTAAACACCGTAAAGCCTGGGATAGAGTGTGAAAGGTCCTTGTACACACATGGTAGATCTTCAAGAAATATTTGTCCAGTGCACTTACAGCACTGAGTTTGTGCACAAGGTTCAGGTCTGGTGTTCAGCCCAGGTGAGGCTGCAAGGCCTGTTTTCTGTTCAATCTATTTGTGGGAGCTGGAATTGCCTCTTGTTTCATGGTCATCTTTTAGAGCCACATCATCTTAAGTGGGTTACCTAGTAGGGTGCAGTTTAAAGAGCCCCGAGTTTTGTTGAATTAGAAACTTGATCAGTTGTTTTAAACGAACAAAGAACTGGAAAATCTACTGCATGAGTGGAGAAGCGTGTGGGTGCAGTGAGGTTTGGAGGTTTGCTCTGTATCCTGCTCGGGGGACTTCCAGTAACTCAGTAATCAGGGGACTAATGCAGAACCTAGTAGTGGCATCCCTCCCTGTAGATTTAGAAGCGTGTTTACATTTTTCCAACTTTTCGAACACTGCAGTTCTCTAGTGTGGCTTTTGCACTTCGAAACTATAGATAGGAAGGAACGTGGAGACGTACAGAGCAGAGCCTCTTTTGCAATCTCTTGGGTTGGATCCTTATTGTTGGGGAGATGGGACAAGATTTGTCTTCATCAAATGGGGATCCACACGATAGTAATGAGTTTTCTTTCCTCAGTCTGATGCATCTACTATGTTTAGAAGAGGGTGTCTGGGCTGATTTTGCAAAAACAAGGAGAGAAAAAAAAAGCCAGAAGTACAAAGGGATGCTACTACAGAATTTATTATCAAGCAGGTTACTTTTCTCCAGAGACCAAGATGAAGTTAAAACTCTTGCCAAGACAATCAACTACTATCCTTTGTTGGGTGTGTGTGTGTGTGTGTGTGTGTGTGTGAGATTAAAGAAAAAATGAATATATTCTTTTAAACTGAAATTTTGTTTTCAATATTTTCATTTAACTGGAGGCAGCTCGGGGGCGGGGTAAAGGACTTTAAGGGTGATACTTTTGGTTCAGTGTATGGGACAATGCTCCAATCACCTGAGCCACACCTGCTAGGTATTTACTTTTTTATTTATTTTAAATCCTCATCGGAGGATATTTTCCCATTGATTTTTAGAGAGAGAGTGGAAGAGAGAGAGAGAGAGAGAAATATTGATGTGAGAGAAACACATTGATTGGTTGCCTCCTGCCCATGCCCTGACCAGGGCCTGGGCGAGGAGGAGCCTGCAACTGAGGAACATGCCCTTGACTGAAATCGAACCTGTGACCCTTCGTCCACAGGCCAACCCTTTTATCCACTGAGCCAACCCGGCTAGAGCTATATGGCATTTTTAATACAAGCTACAGAGTGCTTTTATGTCCATATTCTCAGTGGATTTTTGTAATCGAGAGGCGCTATCAGCTACATTTTACACATGGAAGAAAAGGAAGCTGAGGCAAAGGTCAGACAAGGAAACCAAAGCTTCCAGCTAGAAGGTCAGGTGCTGGTGGAGAATCAGCGTCTTTCTTTCTCTCTCTCTGTTCTGCAGCAGCCTGCTTTTAGGAGGCTACTGTACCCATCAGATCTTTACTAGAAGTGATAATGGTGGTGGTGGGATTGTTCCATCTTTTATTCTCAGTTCCTTTATAACACCTTCGTGGTTTTTGTTCCTCCCTTTTATTTCTTTCAGCTTGGATTCCTCAGCACCACCTCTGCTCAGCCGGAACAGAAGGACTCAAGTCTCATTGGCAAATATCACCACGTTGACCGCGCCACCGGCCAGGTGCTAACCTGCGACAAGTGTCCGGCAGGTACCTATGTGTCTGAGCACTGTACCAACACGAGCCTGCGCGTCTGCAGCAGCTGCCCCGTGGGGACATTTACCAGGCATGAGAATGGCATAGAGAAATGCCATGACTGTAGCCAGCCATGCCCATGGCCAATGATTGAGAAATTACCTTGCGCTGCCTTGACTGACCGAGAATGCACTTGCCCGCCTGGCATGTTCCAGTTCAATGCTACCTGCGCTCCCCATACGGTGTGTCCTGTGGGCTGGGGTGTGCGGAAGAAAGGGACGGAGACCGAGGACGTGCGGTGTAAGCAGTGTGCTCGGGGTACCTTCTCTGATGTGCCTTCTAGTGTGATGAAATGCAAAGCATACACAGACTGTCTGGCTCAGAACCTGGTGGTGATCAAGCCAGGCACCAAGGTGGCAGACAACGTCTGTGGCACACCCCCGACCTTCTCCAGTACAACCTCGCCTTCCCCTGGCCCAGCCATCTTTTCACGCCTTGAGCACATGGAATCTCATGAAGTCCCTTCCTCCACGTATGTTTCCCAAGGTAACTTAACCTCCTGCGTTATTTATTTGAGGAGGGCTTTGAGCCCAGTGAAGGTACTGGCAATAATGGGCTTGTGCCAAGAATGGTTTCACCATTTCGTATATCCCTTGAAGTGGCTTGCATTTGTGGCTAATTAAATCTAGCTTCTTTGGGATCTTTTAGAAACATTTAGACTCAGAAGGTTGCACTTAAGGGGATCGGATATCTCAAAAACTAGGTCACATCAGGCTAGCAAATAAGAGCCTAGTAAAATAAGGACAGCGTGTGGCCTTATGTATGTCACTGAACTTCTTCTGGCCTTGGTTTCAAACTCCTCAAGTACTAGTAAGTGAGTGATTTAGATATTTAAGGTCTCTCTCCAATTAAAAGTTTTCCAACGTGGAGTCAATCCTGGGTTGATACAGCCAGAGGTAAGGAGGAGGGAGAAGGGAAGAAAATACCATGGCGTGTGGAGGGGCGGGATGAATGCTGGATCCAAGGAGGGGAAAATAAGTTAGAAGCTTCGGGAAACAAGCAAATGTGTATTACACCAGAGGGAACTAGCTAGCGTTCACATCTGGAAAATAATGTGTATTTTTTTCAAATGAATCTAACTTGATCTTCTTCATGGGGTATCACTATTTTTCTCAGAATTCCTTTAGAATCTCGGGCAGACTATAAAATTTAGTCTTTATTCTCCAATCCTTTTTGACTGAATTTAATTTTCATTGAGATGATAGCCCGCTTGACTTGTGCTTCCTAGTGTCCTCAGGTGCGATGATACTTGACCTTGATGATAACCTTGTGAGGAGGGCCTTACAGCTGCCATTTTGAAAGAAAGAAATGGACTCACATGACCTCACCAGGTTTTCTCAGGGTCTGATACAGGACAGGTCCTATTTCTCGGGACTCAAAATCTCTGGCTCTCACAACTCGTTAATAGAGACAACTTGTGGAAGCTTCTCTGAAAGAAGTCCAGTAACCTGGCCACGCCCATAGCCAGTGATTGAGAAATACGTTCATAGAAGGTACTAAGGAAGTCCTGCCTTATTTTATTCACTGACCTATCTCACCAAAACTTCCTTTCACTGATCAAACTTGGATTTGAGTTTGAGCTCTTTTCTGACCTTAGTCATATCCTCATATTTACAATTGCATTATGACATAATCAAGAGTTGGGAGATGAGGTAAAAAGGAATTAAAGGACAAAGGGATTAAATTTGAACTAGTTCTCTGAATAGTCAGAACAGTTGAGAGTCGACTAAAGCTCTGAATATATGTATGTGTCAGCTCAGGGTGTGAAACACAGGAGTCGCAGCTATGAAGGCCAAATGTTGGATCCCTGAGAATGTCCTTGGTTATGGCAAGAGGAAGTAAATGAGTTTAGCTGTTATTCTTCATTTTTACCTTCCACATAAAGATGCTTTTAAGATCTTTATGAAAATGTGCAATACAACTCATTCTTAAACGCCAAAGGTCATCTCTTCTTTAATTATCTGCCTGGTTTGGAAATAAGCAGGAAGAGGATGGAATAGTATGTAGATCCCCAAATATAGAAAAACTCACCTCCCTTCTTTACTTTTTTTTTTTTTTTCTAGGCATGAACTCAACAGAATTCAACTCCTCTGCCTCTGTTAGACCAAAGGAACTGAGTGGCTTCCACGAAGAGACAGTCCCCAACAACACAAGGTGGGAGGAAGGTGTGAACAAGACCCTCCCAAACCTCCAGGTCGTGGACCACCAGCAAGGCTCCCACCACAGACACATCCTGAAGCTGCTGCCACCCATGGAGGCCACGGGAGGCGAGAAGTCCAGCACGCCCATCAAAGGCATCAAGAGGGGTCATCCCAGACAGAACCCGCACAAGCATTTTGACATCAATGAACATCTGCCCTGGATGATAGTGCTTTTCCTGCTGCTGGTGCTTGTGGTGATAGTGGTGTGCAGTATCCGGAAAAGCTCAAGGACTCTGAAAAAGGGGCCCCGGCAGGATCCCAGCGCCATTGTGGAAAAGGCGGGGCTGAAGAAATCCATTGCCCCAACCCAGACCCGGGAGAAGTGGATCTACTACTGCAATGGCCACGGTGAGCTTTCTTTTCTTCTCCTTGCCTCTCTTCCCCTCGTCCCTGTTGTCTGGAGGAGTGGGGAGTGCTACGCTTCTGGAATGCCTTTTGTACACCTCGTGCTATTTGATCCAGGTGTGCTATGAGAAATGAGGTGGTCAGCATTTGATGCGCTGTGTTCAGAGAGAATAAACCACTCTGCCCTTTTCTCCCCTGGCACATTTAAAGGGGCATGGCGCAGAATGAGAGATGTGAGAGGGATGTTTAGGGACTTTGTTCAGCCTTGCCATTGAACATGGGAGGAGATTGAGTTCAGAGAGGTTTGGCTGCATCCTTATTTATTTATTTATTTATTTATTTATTTATTATGGTATCACATAACTGTCCTCATCCCCCCATTCCCACCCTGAACCCCTCCCCACGTATGCCTCCCCATCCCCCTGTTGTCTGTGACCACTGGCTAGGCCCATATGCATGCATACAAGTCCTTTGGTTGATCTCTTCTCCTTTCCCCCACCCTTCTCTACCATCCCTCTGAAGTTTGAGAGTCTGATCGATGCTTCCCTGTCTTTGGGTCTGTTTTTATTCATCAGTTTATGTTGCTCATTATTTCCCCTAGATGTGTGACATCATGTGCTACAAGAAATACACTTGTAAGAACCGAGAATGAGACCAGCCATAATGGTTATGCTGAGAGGCAAATGAATCAGTCTGTAGTGAGTTTCTTTCTGGGCCAACAGTTCTTTTGAGTCCCAATTTCAATGTCAAACAGTTCCTTGTGTGTAGATGTCAGCAATAATATTTCAGTTCTAGATGGTGGACAAGTGGTGGTGATGCAGGTCTGACCATCTCTGGTTTGGTCCTGGGCATCCTTTGACCAAAATCGAATCTGGGACCCTTGAGTCTGCAGGTAGACGCTCTATCAACTGAGCCAAACCAGTTAGGGTTTGGCTGAATACTTGACCCAGGCTGGTTGTTTGTTCAGGACAGATGGGACTGACTCCATGTCTCCTGGACTAGTGGGGCTCTCACTTTTTTTTCACTACCGGGCTGCTAAGAAAAGGAAAAAGAACTTGTCCTACGTTTGCCTTTTAGAACCTCAACCTTGCTTCTAGATCTCTCTACGTTTTGCCCATGTACTTTCCCCCTCCTTCTATTTTTAGGATCCCATTTCTACCAGGATAGGAAGGGCTTTTTAGATTACAGACACTCAGAGCTTAATATGTTGGTGAGCATTTAGGGGTTGGGCTTCCCATCTTCTACAGAGTAGTGGAGGTGTGTGTTGACACAGGCCGGAATATTTGTTTTTCCTTTTTTGAAGGCCAGAAATAGCTACGGAAGTTGTCCCAGGAGCTGTTTGAGGTGAGAAGGCAGTTTTCAGACGGTGGCAGTAATTTCCCTTTCTGTAAATCCTAAAATGAGATTTCAGCCTGTAATTTTGATAATTCTAGTCAGGTGCCTTTTTGCCCCTTCAAGGTAGCTTAATTTTCTAAAAAAGCAGTTTGGCCTTTTGTATTGAGTCTTATAACTCTGTTTATGCCTTTTGTTCCAGCAGTTCCATTTTCATTCATCTATTTTAACCAGAAATATTAAAAAAAGAAAAAAAAAAAAGATTTAAGCAAAAAGATCTTAAACTTTTAACTAAGCATTATGTATAATAAGAAATTGGAAACAAAAATTTGAAATTGGAAACAAAAGGACAGTTTTAAGGAAATGACTTAAGTAAATGATGGCCTATCTGTAATATGAAATGTATTGACATTGAAGATTTTATGAATTTTTTGACGGATGACAGGAAAATGTTTTACAGTAGGTTAAAGAAAAGAAAAAACAACCCAGACTACACAATTCATATAACACAATCCCAGTTCCCTTAAAGCGATGAAATACAGACTGAAAGAAAATAGGCCAGAATGACAGTGATGTTCTTTAAGTTTGATGAAATTAATGTGCAGATCTTTTTTTTCTTCTTTGTTAGTTTTCCTTTCCCCAAATTTTCTAAAATAAGCACATGCTACTTTTATAATCAGAAATTAGAGAAAGTGAAAAAAACAATAGTAACTTATTTTGCTTCCCTTTGCTAATTTGTGTGAATGAGCAAATCAAGGGAAAATCAGACTGAGACAAACCCCCTCCTGGAAACAGAGCCTGCCCTGACTTGAAGGATCCTACCCCTTGCTGCAACCCAGCTGGGGAAGGAAAGCTTCAGTCCTCCCCTGCTTTTTAATAAAAATCCTTTTATTTGAACATAATTTCAAATTTATGGAAAAATTGCAAGAGTAGTACAAAGAATACCTGTATACCTATGCCCAGGTCACCCTATTAATATTTTGCCTTTTTGCATTATGTGTTCTCTTTATATTAAAAATAGATTTTATAAATTATAAAATATGTATAATACAGAATAGTTTATTATATAATATAACATATAATATGCAGTATTTTGTGTATACACACACGTATACATCCAGAAAATGTTTCTGTACTATATCCTGGACCTTTGTGCCTACAAACTTCAGTGCGTATTTCCAAACAATAGGATATTCTCTTTAAGAAAAATAGTACAGTTTTCAACCTCAACAAAATGTAACATGAATATAATATTGTAACTTACCATCCATATTCTGATATTCTCAGTCAGTCCAGTGAGGGCTTCATAGACAGCATACATTTTTTTTTTTTCTGGTATAGAATCTGGTCCAGGACCAAGTATTTCATTAAATTGCTCTTTAAGTGATCAGATCTTGTTCTGATATGTCTAATTACTAGAGAATGCCCTGTTGGATTATGTAAGTATTTGAAACTCTCCTCTCCTTATTTACCGCATTAAAGGAATGGCTCCATTTCTTTGGTAGTTGAATTTATGGATTAGGGTTTGGTGCCATCTTTAGTTTCAGGATCCACTGGGGGTCTTGGAATGTATCCTCAAAGGAGAAGGGGGATTACTGTGGCCTCATTCAAGTGTAACTATCTTTTCCAATAGTTTAACCCCCGGTTTTTCCATGGGGATGTTCATATTTAGGATGCTTTTCTAAATGAGGTCTATTTTTTCCCCCAAATTTCTGTTCAGAAAGGTTTAACTAAGTAAAATCCCATTACAAAGAGAAGTTCTGTTTAATAAAAACCATCCCAGGTGCTCAGAGAGGCCTCTAGAAACAATATCTTCTTGTTCTGATTGCAGTGAGTTCTGGGCAGCAGATAATCCTGTGTAAGATCTTTTTCTGGTCCTTGTCCATTTACACTAGATTGTTTGTGAGGATGAGAGTAAAATTGCCTAGCCCAGGGTGCTCTCCCTAAGAGGTCAGGTAAGACCTCACTTATACGCCTGCCCTACTTAAGCAGACCATGCCATGCTCCTGAGTGCCACATAGATCCTCAGCACTCTGAAGCTAAGTCATTGCTTTCCGTCTTCCTCTACAAGAACCTAGCTGGGTTGGCTCAGTGAATCAGCCTGTGGACTGAAGGGTTTCGGCTTGGATTCTGGTCAAGGGCATGTACCTTGGTTGCAGGCTCAATCCCAGCCTGGTCGGGCGCATGCAGGAGGCAACCAATCAATGTGTCTCTTTCACATCAATGTTTTTCTCTCTGTCTCTCCCTGTCCTTTCCACTCTTTCTAAAAATCAATGGAAAAATATCCTTGGATAAGGATTTAAAAAAAAAGAAGAAGAAAAAAGAACCTCTTTATTTGGATCTACTCACCCCACTTGCCTTCCAAGGATGTATGGTTTTTAAAGTTGAACTCCACAAAACTGCAGTACTACTTTCATGGAGTCCAGGTGTTGGAGACGCCTTATGTGGCTAGGAGGGTGGAGGACTGAGAATGCTGTGGTATTGTGTGTGCTTCTTTCCTTCATGAAGTCAGAGTAATTCAATGTTTGATAAATTGGGGTTGGACTGTGGTTTCTTGCAATGTGTCTGTTTTCTGCAACAGGCATCAGAAGTCTCTTCAGAATCTGCCCCCCTTCCCCCCACAATTTTGAGAATACATTTTATTAAAACTGGAGACAGTGAAACAAGGCAGGGCCTAGGATAGAAGAAGCAACAGGACAGAGCCTAGGTGGGCTGCTTTGGCTCAACACAGATGTTATAGGAAAGAAATGAGCCAAGGTGGGGCTGTTTTAGCTCACTGGAACATCAGAGAAAAGAGGCTTTGGAGGTAGGTTTGGGGTTAGTGAGGGACGAGCTGCTGCTGCCCATTGCTCCTCGGGCTGCAGGTCTCATTGGGTCTCGTAGAATTTAGGAGATGCATACCTAAGAGGGAATAAAGACATGGGTGTGATCCTGGGAAAGAGTTCGCCCAGAAATTTTATACACAAATCTTTTATTTATGAGTTTTTTCACTAGATTCAGGTGTCATTAGGTTGTAAATCTATGTTAATGCTCAATTTGTTATGCTTTTGTTATTTAAATAATACTTTATTTCCTTTTGAAGTATAATCCCAACGTTATACTAAGTGGGTAAAGTGGGTAAGTGGGATCCAGCATGTTCAACTTTATTTAAAATTAAGATTAATGTGGGTTCACATTAATTGGGAGGTTACATGGAAGACAGTATAGTTTGTCTGATCTTGTTTGTCACGTAAAACACAAAAGTAAAGGTAGTGAAACTTAGTCCATGCACAGGTGGCCATACAATGTACTGAGAAAGTCTCAAGTGATCTCAAAACAGTTACTTTCTTATAATTATGCAAGACACAGGGCTGTGGTCCAATCCCAGCTGGGAACGAGGATGGCCGAGCATAGAACCAACTGCTGTTCTCTTATTGCTGTTTCTAATACGGGTTCTTCCTAGTGGCCTTCCCTTCCTTTCTTCCTCTTCTCCTCCCTTCCTTCCCCACTTCTCTCTCTTCCCCCCTCTCTCCTTTGTTCACTCTTATGACTGATGACTTGGAAAAACTATGACCGTGGGTGTCTGAAGAGAGGTTTGAAAAGCAGGCGAGGAGTGGAAATTGCCCTGAAAATACTTGTGGAGGAAGTTCTGCAAGGTGATAGAGGGATTTCCTTTTTCCTTCAGACTTCAG